TATATATATTAAAGTTGAGCACTCCACCCTCCAAAAAAATTGTCCAGATTATCCCTGAACCTCAGTCCTCCTGCCTCGGCCTCCTTCCATGGCTGGATTAAATGAATGTGTCACTGTGCCCTGCTTGTGGTTCTGTTCTTACCTAAGTTTGTGCCATCTTTTTTTTTTTGTACTGGAAATCACACTCAGGACCTCATGCTCGCCAGGCAGGCACTGTGTCACTGAGCCGTATTCCCAGTGCTGTTGTGCTTTTTTTTTTTGGTCTTTTTGAGGCAGGGTTTCTGCAGTTCAAACTGGCCTCGAACTCACAGTGATCCTTCCACCTCAGCCTCCTGAGTGCTGGGATTACAGGCCTGTGACACCATACCCTGCCTACTTACTAATTTGTATTTTTATTTTGTAACGGAAGCTTTCTGGTGTTTCACAGTCACCATGAACCTTGTTCGCAGGTATATAGTCCGTTAGGTGACACTGCAGATTCTTCCCAGGTGTCTTCACTGTTAGAGGTCTTTAGGCTGTGAACATCTTTGGGGATGAAACTTTATGGGGTTGGGAGGCCACATTACCTGGGGTGGCCATGCTAGACCAGAAAAGATAGAGCCACACCTGATGGCTGAGCGCATGGTGGGTACCTTGGCGGTCTGCAACACGGTGCGGGTGGCGTTGCTGTGCCCTCCACGCATGGCTGCGTGCACCCTGGCATTCCCATGGCCCTGACAGCTTTGCCTTCTTTCCCAGTACAGCCTTGTCAGGGAGCCACGTGGCTGTGAGTGCATTTCAGAGACCTGACTAGAATTGGCTGCTTGCAGAAAGTGCCTGCAAGCTGTAGTGCTGCTTCTGCCTGGCCGCTGAAGGCATCACCCTGGGAGAACCTGAGCCCCAGTCCTACACTCTCCGACTCTGGAGCTGCCTGCCTCCTCCCCAGCCTGTGTCCCTCCAGCAGCTGTGGCCTGCAGGCCTTGTTAGCAAAGTGTTCCTTTTCTTCTCAGAATTTATATGACCTGGATGAGGATGAGGAGGTCACAGCGCACATCCCTACCAAGCAGATGAAGTTCGCAGCCTCTGGCAGCTTTCTCCACCACGTGGTGCGTGCTTTCTTTTCCTTGCCTGCACCTGGGGTGGGAGAGGTGGAGGAGTGAGCAGGGCCTCTCAGTGAGTCTGGCTCAGAGCCTCAGCAGTCTGGCCCCTTGGTCTCACGTGGGCCCATAGTGAGTACCCAGCAGAGCCACAGCTCCCAAGGGAAGGGAAACATGTCCCGGACCATTTCCTCTGCTGTGCCAGCACCACAGGCTGCTTTTGGTTGTGGAAGCCTGAAGTCCAGTTGCAGGGCTGTATCTGGAACACCCTGTTGTAGAGTGGCAGAACCATCGGTGTGGCGGAGACCAGGACGGGAAGTCACCTTTCTTCAGGAGCCCACCCCCAAGCATGCTTCCCCACGTCTGCCATAAGCTGCCTTAGTCCTCTCGTGAGGGTGGTGTCCAGAGTGACTTTCCAAGGTGCATGCCGCCTCAGTGCCATTCCTGCGGAAATTAAGGCTCAGCATCAGTTCTGGAGGGGACAGCAGAACTAAAGGCAGGGTGATCCTATGGGCAGGAAACCCATTTTCATTCTCTGTGGAGGGATGTTGACCCTGCTCCCTGGCACTCCAGTCAGGAACTTTGCCCTGCTCTTGGATTCAGGGTTCTCAGGGTTGGGCTAACAGGAATGAGAAGCCTTCCTGGCCTGTGGGTTCTTGGAGGTGCTGCTGGGTGGGGAAGCCTGTGGTGAGGGGCTTGTCTTCCTGTGTCCCCTTGGGATGGTACAGCCGAGCACAGCAGAGGCCAGAGCTCCCCACCCAAGCAGGCACCTGGGTGTTCTCTTCAGTAGCCTGGAGGCTGGCTTTGTCTTCCTCTGAGTGGGCCCCTCCTGGTTGCTAGTTAGCCTGCACAGTGCTGTGAGGAGCTGTGCCCTGCCTGCCTGTCCCCCTGCAGGAAGAAGGCCTTTGCAACAATTAGATCCCTGGGTCTCCACTGTGGAACCCAAGCTGGCTCAGTGACCACAGCCCTCACTGAAAAGCAGCCTGGTAGCTTGCTCGGGACTTTCCTCCCTGCCTGACCATCACGCACCATCACGCATGCTCATGGATAAGGAAGTAGGTACAGAGAATCTGAGGAAACACGCTTCACGCCACGTAGCATAGCAGGCACAGATCTAGTTGTTGAGCCAAAGTAGTGTGTGCTGGGGGCATGAGAAACTACCACCTTGGGGCTGGGGAGATGGCTCAGTGGAATAAGCACTTCCCTGGCAAGTGCAAGGGCCTGAGTTCAATCCCTGGTTCCACCAAAATAAATAAATAAATAAATAAATAAATAAATAAATAAATAAATAAATGAAATAAAATAAAATAAAATAAAATAGTATAAAAAAGAAACTACCACCTTATCCCAGCTCTGGAGACACAGAAGGGGCTTGAAATGGGGACCTCACATGAAGAGGGTACTTCTTGGGAGACTGCAGAAACCTGGTGTGCTGGCTGCTGTGTCCCTCCCTTGCCCCTGGTGCAGTGCCTGTAAAGCCTGCCCTGAGTCAGCAAGACCATCTGCCAGTCTGTCCCACAACTCCTGCATGAGGAAGTTTGTGTTTGCTAGGGCTGTGTCCTTAGCGCAGGAAGGGCTGTTCCTGGTGATCTCCATGTTCCAGCTTCACTGGCATGTCCCTGGCCTGCCAGTCACCGAGAAGCCTAGACTGTGAAGTGGGCTCTCTGCGTCCAGACCTTTGGGCCATGTTAAGTGTGACTCCCTGTGCCCAGCCAGTGTGGCTGGTGACAAGCTACTGTGGGAAGAGCCTGTGGATGCAGGCTTGGGCAGCCTGGATGGTGGGGTGTTAGGAAAGCATACGCCCACGGGTGAGTCTCCATCCTCTAAGCACAAGCTTGGCCCTATGCCATCTCCCCTCCTTGAGACGTCCCTAGTAGTAGCAGCCATTTTTGCTTCAGCCTAATAGACTTGGGCATGGGGAGATGGCTCAGTAGAATAAGTTCTGCCCTGGCAAGTGCAAGGGGGGCTGAGTTCAATCCCTGGTTCTACCAAAAAAAAAAAAGAAGAGCATTATCCCTAATAGGCTCAGCCATGAGGCATTGAAGACTGGTGCACTCAGGTGCTCGTCAGCCCCTTGGGCCTCTCGGAGCCTCAGGGCTCCAGCCACTCAGCGGCCTCTCTGTCCCTGCAGGCCGGGCTGAGCAGTTCTAAGCTCTCTGGGTCCAAGGCGCTCCCTCTCACCAAAGTGGTTCAGAATGATGCCTACACTGCTCCCACTCTTCCTGCCTCTGTTCGAACCAAAGCCTTGACCAACATGTCCCGGACACTGGTGAACAAGGAGGAGTCCCCCAAAGAGCCGCCACCTTCGGAGGTGAGCAGGGTGGGTGGCATTGTGTTGCGTGCATCCTGGTGGGTCCTCAGAAAGTCCTTGAGAGCTTGTTTGGAGGTTCTAGCAGGGGAGCGCAGCTACTCGTATACCCTTGACCGAGGAACGGTCCTCTATCAGGGGTGGTCGTCCTCTTCGACCAAGCGCGCAGCTTTGGGAGGGACGCACATGGATCGTTAAGGGAGGAAGGGGACACCTGCCTAGCCAGCCAGATCAGCCGAATCAACCCTGGTGATCAATGGGGTGACAGATGTCGCAGCCAGATTGCCCTCACATCCCTCAGAAAGTCCTTGTGAGGAGGCTTGCCACCCATTTCACAGAGGACCAAACCCAGGCCCATGGGTCACTGTGTAGTGACACAGTGGTTTTCCTGCAGCTGCCAGGGAGGAGCATCTCCTGCCCCTCAGCTGGGGAGGCAGAAGAACAGGCTGTGAGCTAGCTAGGGCTGAAACCAGAGGGAAGGCCTGGTGTGTGGGAGGGCAGCCGCCCCTTTGGCCCAGGTGTACATGTGGGGACCTTATGGTGTGGTGCCTGCCCTGCCACATGTGCTTACGCTTCTGTCTGTGTGCAGCCTGTGCTCAGCCCCTTGGAAGGCACCAAGATGACTGTGAATAACCTGCACCCTCGCGTCACTGAGGAGGACATTGTTGTGAGTACTCCGCCCTGCGGACCTTCAAGTCTGAAACTGCTGTTGTGGCCCAGGACTCTGGGACCTATCCTGTGTGTGACTGCTGGGGCTCATGGGACTGGCAAGTCCATGCAGGGACAGGGTGCATGCAGACCGCTCCTCCTCCTCCAGCATCAGTGACATGGGACCAGGGCTTCCTTGCGTAGGGCTTTTCCAGGGTGCAGTCACCAGGCGTCCTTTGCTTGGAGTGTACCAGAATTCCGTGGGAGTGCTGGGGAGTGAGTGAAGACAAGGCTTTACAGTTTATTGTTTGGGACCGGGTCTTGCTAATTTGTCCAGGCTGGGGATGAACTTGTGGTCCTCCTGCCTCTACCTCACTGGTGGGCTCCTTCACTGCTGCTGTGTAACCTTGATGGTGGTGTCTCCCTGTTTCTATACTTCCTGACACCTTGAGTGTGGCATGGTGGCACTGCTTAGAAAAAATTGGGTTGGTGGCCTTCTTGGTCCATTCTGTTTTGTCCAGGTCATGTGATTGGAAAGTGAATCTGGGATTGGCTAGATTTCCTTTTCCTCCTCCTTTTTCCTAGGCATGTAGAAATCTGGCACTCTTGAGCAGTCATAACATGAGTACAGCTGATGGGCAGTCCCAGGTTGGGGACATTGCACTGGCTGTGTTGCTCGCCAGTTCTCACTGTGAAACAAAGTGGGGACTAGAACCATGCAGGCCCAGAGCTCAGGACACGCAGCCTGCTCTCGGGGACACCTGCAGTGTTCTGAAGAACCACAGCTTACGGGTTATAAAAAAAAGAGTGGTAGGGTTGGCGGGGTACACCTGTGATCCCCCTTACCTGCGAAGCTGAGGGAGCAGTGAGCTCAGGGCCTGCTGGGCAGCATGGCGGGACCCCATGCAGCGTAAGGAGGGAGGGTGGCAGCACTCACTGAGCGCTTCCTGTGTGCCAGGTGCTTTAGTGAAGGGGCTTTGAATAGACCGAGTGATCACCAGCCAGAAAATTACCAGTTATAATCGCCCTAAATCACTGCTCCTCTACCCAAAGAGGTACCCATAAGAGAATAACAGCCAGGTGTGGCAGCCCAGACCGTAACTCTAAATACTTGGGAGGTGGAGATGGAAGGATTGCAGCTTTGAGGCCAGGCTAGGCAGCATAGTGAGACCTTACTTCAGAAAATGCTCAGAGGGGCTGAGGAGGTGCAGGATTGCTTGGTGTGCACAGGCCCTGAGTTCAGTGCCTAATAATTACCACAGAGGAAATGAACGAGAGACACAGGAGTAATGACCTTGAGAACCGCCTAGTGTCCTGCACCTTGGTTTTCATACTTAATGTTTCCCCCTTTACCATTAGAAACAAATGTCAGGGGCTTTTTCGCAAGTCTTGTTGATGACAGACAACCTTGAGATGGTTGCAGATAATGAATAGTCTTGTGGTTTTTTGTTTTGTTTTGGTTTGGTTTTTTTGTGGTACTGGGGACTGAACTCAGAACCTTGCACTTGCCAGGCAGATAATGAATGAACATAGGAAGAAGGAAGGGCTGAGAGCTCACAGCCTGGCACAACTCACAGCCTGGCACCCACCTCAACAGGGTTTCCCTTGGTCATGGTCTCCCCTCCCTCTCAGTAGAATGGGCCCTGGCAGAATGTACAAAGCTCCGTATTAAAAGTGACAGAGATGGGGGCTGGCCAGATAACTTAGCACATTAAAGTGCCTGCTTAGGCAGACTTGGACGAGGGTTCAATCCCTGGCAAGCCATGTGGGCCTCGCCCCTGTGGGCTCACTGAGACAGCAGTTGAGACTGAGCGTGCTGGCGTGCACCTCTAATCCCAGTGCTTGGGAGGCTGAAAACAGAAGGATCACTATGAGTGATCTGTGTAGTGAGACCCTATAGACCTTGTACTAAATACATAATAAATAAAGTACGCGACAGAGATGAACCTCCTGGCGACCCTGGGAGGAGCTCGAGCAGACCTGATTCTCAGAAGAAGAGAGACAACCTGGAGAATTTAAGCAAGTTGCGGGCACTCACCACACTAGAAGGCGGCAGCAGGGCCCAGACCCCCCATGTCTGACCTAGTGTGACCAGCTGTTCCAGTTTGGCTAGGACACTTCTGGTGTCAGCACTCAGTCATGTCCTGAATCCATTTGTCCCAGGAAGTTGGTAACCATGGGTGGGGTTCGGATGCTCACAGTTCTGATAGATTCTCAGGAGGCCTTTAGGGAACCAACCTGGGCGAGCCTACACATCCGTGCTCACAGCAGCACTCTGGGAGGGACATTCCTCACTGTGACCCTTCCTAGAGGGTCACAGGCCAGCCTGGCCTGGGTGGAGCAGTGCATGTCTCAGGGCTGTGACCTGAAGAGGGCGCTTCCCGAGACCTGGTCACCCAGTGCCATGTGCAAGCCAAGTAGCGGCAAGGGGCAGCAGGATGTCCCCTCAGCCGAGCATTGTTCTCAGGAGCTTTTCTGCGTGTGCGGAGCCCTCAAGAGAGCCCGGCTGGTCCATCCCGGCGTGGCTGAGGTGGTCTTCGTGAAGAAGGATGATGCCATCACTGCGTATAAGAAGTACAACAACCGCTGTCTGGACGGTGAGTTGGGGAGAGGGTGGGCACCAGCTGGGCCTCAAGACAGCTTCCTCTGGGGGTGGGGAGTGTCCTGGGATGGCCCCCCTACCACAGCCTCCCTGCATCAGGAGCAGGCGGGGCAGTCTGTGAGGCGGCTGGAGCTTGCCCCAGACATTGGCCCACTTGCTGCCAGGCCCCAGGCTCCTGAGGGCTAGAGCTGTGACAGTCACAACACCTGGGCAAGCTCTGCTCCTCTCAGGCCTCAGAGAGGGTGGGCTGTGTTCTTTGCTGCTCACCAGTTCTGCATTCACTGTGGACCTGCTGTGAACTGGGGTCTGGTGCTGGAAGCGGGGAGCAGAGAAATAAAAACATCCAGAGGCTGGGTCTTAACATTTTCCTGGCTCCCTGCCTGGCTGGCTGGTTTCCTGTCTTCATGCCTTTTTAATGATACTGGGGCTTGATCAGGCCTTTCACACTGAGCTAGATCATTCTCCCTTTTCTAAACTTTTTTTAAACCTTTCTTTTAAACCATTCATCCATCCATCCATCCATCCATCCATCCATTTATTTGGTAGAAGGTCTCGCTATGTGGCCCCGACTTGTAGTGATCCTCTTGTCTCAGCCTCCCCAGCACTGGGAGTACAGACATGTGCCATCACACCAGTTGCCCCAGCACAGCATGCAGTACTGGGGATCAAAACCAGGTCTTCGTGCTTGCCAGACAGGTGCTTAGATCGTCTATTTTGAGGCGGGGCTTAACCATGCGCAGCACTTGCCAGTCTCTTGCTTTAGCCTGAATAACTGGCATTTCAAGCTTGTGTTACCATGCCTGGTTGTTCCTGTGTTTTGGGGGGGTTTTTTTGGATACAGGGTCTCCTTACACAGTTAGGACTCATGGTGATCCTCCTGTCTCAGCCTTCCTAGTGCTAGGATTAGAGGCACACACCACCATGCCTGGTTGTGGTGGCCGGCTCCGCATGCCTGGGGGTCCAGAGCTGGCGCAGCTTGTGATATGGGGATCGAGCTCTGGAGCATGTGCTTGGTAGTAGTAGACTCTTCGACCACTGAGCTATTTTCCCACCCTGTTGCTGTGGGGTTTGATAGGGCGTGGCTTTATTTCTGTTCATGTTGAAATATTTTCTAATCTCCTTTTTTATTTCTTTGACTATATTGCTGAGAATAATGCATAACATTATTACGTTAACTTGCATGTATTTATAAATTTCCCAGTTCCCTCCTCGTGAGGAAAGTGAGTGCTCCGCTGCCCTCGTGCAGAGGCTGTGTGACAGCACTTGGGCGGCGGGTACAGCGTCTTTGGTCTTCCAGCTCAATCTTGGTCTGCCTGCTGGTTCTAGCCATTTTACCAAACACATCAAAATGTTTAGCCATTGCTGTTACGTAGATCTCTCTTGGTTTCTGTTAGGTTTTATTTTGTCTTTTAAGAGGTGATTTATTTGTATATTTGAGGCTGTGTTGTTACTGTATTTGTGTTATAATTGTTTTTTTCCTAATGACTTAGCCTTTTACCATTGAAAGTATTCCCTTTTGTATTTCTTGCCAGGGATCAAACTTAGGACCTTGCACTTGCCAGGCAGGTGCCCCTGTCACTGAGCTGTCTCCCCAGACCCCTTTTGTATTTCTTGCAACACTTCTTTTTGGTTGCAACCTAGTTGAGACTGGGTCTCGCTCTGAACCTCAACTGGCCTTGGACTCACCGTGGAGCCCCTGAGCGCAGGGATTGCGGCATGAGCTTTAGGAGCCTCCTTGTCCTTCCTTGGTGGTGCTGCCCCGGCTTTCTCAGCATGGCGTTGCATAGCATGCCCCCCCCCCTCCCCTGCGTCTCCTCTTGGAAGGCAAGCATGACTTACAGGTAGCTGTAGGCAGCACTGCAGTTCTGGTGAAGACCACAGCGGGGGCAGCAGAGCAAGATTCTGTCTTAAAATAGAGAACAAGCAGAGGGTTTGTCCGGGTTTCCCTCAGTTCCATGGTTGTTGATGGCATTGCCACAGGAGCATCTGCAGAAGGGACCACATGGCAAAACACCTAGAGAGCAGCTGGGCCTCTGGTAGCCACAGTCCTCTCAGGCAGTGGCCCGAGCAGGTCACCTCATGGGGTGCCCACTTCCCAGCATGCACCAGAGACGGAGCTCTCCGCACATGGACCTCTGGGGCAGGCTGTGTTGCGCCACAGCGTTGACATGGGGGCAGAGAGGGGCCTTCGCTCTATCGTGTGGGGAGCACAGGAGTCAGGGCTGTGCCTTTTTCCCTCTGGATTTGCAGGGCAGCCTATGAAGTGCAACCTCCACATGAACGGGAACGTGATCACCTCAGACCAGCCCATCCTGCTGTGAGTCCAGGGGCGGGCGGCGGGGGTGGGGCTCAGTGCTGACGGACCCTGCATGGCAGCTTTGCAGTTCAGCCTTGTGCACGCTGTCGCCTGTGCTCTGTGGTGCTTCCTGTCCTATGCAGGCTCTGCAGTTGCAGTGGCTGACACCGTGTCCTCAGCAGCTGAGAGCTGTGGCTGTGGGCATCTCTAAACTTGTGTGCACTGCCCGTGACGCACTGCTGGCCCACTGCAGAGGGCTCACGCTCTGAGGCTGGCGGGACACCCCCTGGAGACATGGTGGCAGAGGCCCGGAGTGCCGGCCAGGCCTGGGCCAACAGGCTTTGAGGGTTAGGAAAACTCGGGCTTTGACCTGGGTACTCAGTGCTGGGATTTGGACAGATTTCCTCAGTATGTTCCAGGAGCAAATGGGGTTCTATTTTTTTTTTTTAAGAATATAGTCCATTCTGGACTCTCTTTGCTCTTCTGTTGAAACAGGGTCTTGCTGTGTAGTTCTGGCTGACCTTGAACTCATTATGTAGCTCAGGCTCACCTCAGTCTCACAGCAGTCCTGCCTCAGCCTCCCAAGTGCTGGCATTAAGGCCTGTGCCACCACGCCCAGCTTAGGCTGGACTTGAATTGACTGCATAGCTCAGGCTGGCCTTCTGCTTGCTGTTGCTTTTCTAGCCGAAGCCTCCTGAGTGCTGGGATTATGGGTTTGCACTACCACTCCTAGCTTCTAAAAGTGTTTCTTAGGGCTAGAGGTGTAATTCGTGATAGAGCGCTTGCCCAGCGCACGCAAGGTCTTGTGCACTCTGGCGTGTCCCTGTCCTGGAGAGAAATGTGTTTCCTAAGCTCACAGCTCCAGAGCCAGCAGGCTGCACCCCGGCTTCCTCAGCAGGTCAGGGAAACAGCGGGTGTGCTGCAGGAGGACTCGAGAGGTGACTGCGGAGGGCCTCGCGCCCAGGCCCGGCTCAGGGCCCTGCAGGTCCCAGAGCGTAAGGCTGCCTCCTCACCTGCAGGGCCCTAATGGGCTTTCTCTTCTGTGCTCTGCACAGGAGACTGAGTGACAGTCCCTTGGTGAAGAAGGACAGTGAGCTGCCTCGGAGGCTGACCTCAGCCACCTCTGCCAACCCGCCCGCTGAAGTGGACCCGGACACCATCCTAAAGGCACTCTTCAAGTCCTCGGGGGCCTCCGTGACCACACAGCCCACAGAGTTCAAGATCAAACTCTGAGCAGGGCCAGGAGGCGAGGAGCGGGGCAGAGGAGGGCAGCCCTGTTCCAGCCAAGCTGGTGACCAACGGTCATCGAACTGCAGTCTCTGGCATGGGAAAGGTTGCCAGGGTTGAGCTTCCTCGCTGGATGGGACCCACCCTTCTGTGTTGTGTCCCCCTGTGTAGTCTGTGTCCACATTTTCTGTAGTATGTCCTTCCCCTCCACCTGTCACCCGGGCAGGGTGTATTTCTCAGTTTGTTCCCTGCCCTCCCCTCAGGCTGGTTGCTGACCCAGAAGTGTGCGCAGTGGCCCAGCTGGCTTTGTGTGGCCCCTGCAGGATGTGGGGCAGCCCTAAGACAGCACCCCTTGGACCTGGAGTTGTCCCACTAGCCCAGCACCCACCTGCTTGTCCCTCACCACAGCCGCCTCTCCAGGGCCCTGGGCAGTGCCCCCTACCCTCAGCTGGGAGACTCTGCAGGCACAGGACCATCGCAGGCTGTTGAAGGGTCCGCTCCCTTGCGTCCTATAACACTGTGGCTCTGGAGGCATCTGCTCGGGAGCTGCTGCTTGGTTCCTGGCTCTTGTCTTTCCAGGCCGGGGCTGGGCCGCCAGCAACCTGTGCAGTGTCTCCACGATTGGGAGTGTCCCAAGTGTCTGTACTGGGAGCAGGTGGGCAGGCCTTCCCACAGGACTGTAGGACACGATGTCAGTCCCCTACAAAGGACCGTGGGCTGGTAGGGCTGTGGCAGTTAGGGAAGTTCTGGGAGCTGCATGGAACTAGTGCATGGTGTGAGGGTCGTTGGCCCGGGATGGGGGAGCCTGCCTCCCGGCCCGACATCTGCCCTGCAAGAAGGCGCCAGTTGGCCCTGAACGAGCACTGCCCTCCTCCTCTCACCCCGTGGGGTGGGACAGGCGTTCCTCTAGCAGCTGTGACATTCCACCCGCTCCACCATCCAGGCCCAGGAGACCCAAAGGTCCTGGGACCTGGCTTCTCGTGTGCTGGGGACAGGTGGCACTTTCAGTTCCACTAGGGGTGTGCACACCCTGCCTGTGCTCGCCCCGCCTCGCCTGCCCTGCACCTTGGCAAGGGGAAAGGAAGCCGTGGGCAGCGCTGTGTTCTCACCTCCCCTGCGTTGCTCCTCTGTGTTACTCAGAAAGCGAGGAGGTGTAAGGGATGGAGGTGACTGTGTATTGCTACGTTTCTGAATAAACATTTGTTATTCCTACTCTGGAGCTGTGGTTTATTTATGTTTGAGACTTCTTATGCTTTTCAGGCTGGGCTTGAGCTCATTTTGTAGCCCCGACTACCCCTAAATTCCCAACAGTCCTGCAGTAGCCTCCACCTCACCCACCATAAAAGGAATCTTTTTTTTTTTGGTACTGGGGCTTGAACTCATGGCCTTTCACTTGCCAGGCAGGCACTGTGCTGCTGAACTCAGTCCTGGCCCTGGAGCTGTGAGATCTTGAAAGACTGCATGAGTGGCTGTGGTAGGCCCCGGCACCAGAAAGCAGGCATTGTCTGCTTGATCGCAGGACTCACTGGTCCGCACAGCTACGAGGGCTGCAGACTTGGAGACGTGTTCACAGGGGACTTGGGGCCTCCGCCTGGATGAGTTACACTTGGTACGGTCACTGCAAGGTGAAGGTGGCACTAGGATGGATTATTTATGGTTGGTTTTATTGTATTAAAAGTGGATGGAGGGGCCGGGGAGATGGCTCTGTAAAATAAGCGCTTGCCTGGCAAGCACAAGGGCCTGAGTTCAATTCCCTGTTCAGCCAAAAAAAAAAAAGTGGGTGGAAGTGATTGTCCCTCCCACCAAATACAGGCCTGACGTTTCATAAAACTCCTAATTAAGGTGGCTCCAAGCTTTCAGTTTTCTTACAAATAAGCTTCCAACTTTCAAAAGCAAGGCTGAGGCAGAGAGGACAGGCAGGCTCTGGGACCTTGGAACCCAGGAGGGCGCCCGCGCTGTCCTGGGCTGGCTTTGCGCTTTGCTTGCTCCCTGCAGATGCAGTGGAAGCCAGCACCGGGAAACCACCGCAGGGACCCAGCTGAGCAGCTTGACCTCTGGTGTCCAGACGGAGACACTGGCCAGATGGGAGCGAGATGCTGCCGCAGTGGGCAGTTGGGAGCGCAGCTGGCTGCTACCCACGCTGTGGTGGGGCACCCACAAACCTCTGCCACCTAGCAACAGCCAGCCAAACAGTAGTCCTGTTACAAGAAGGGAGATGAGCTCCACACACCTGCTGGCGGCACCAGCTTCTGTCTGCCTGAGGGGTCGCACCGAGGTGCTCCTCACAACACCAACGTGGCCACACTCTCACTGAATGTCACTCCCACCGAGATCTTTTTTTTTTTTTAATTTTATTTATTTGTGTCAGCCCACCAGGGCTGGGGCTGACTGGCATGTGGTGCTGGGGGAATTGAACTGCGGTCCCTGTGCTTTGCTTAGCTTGTTCTAAGTAAGTGCTTTAGACCACTGAGCCATCTCCCCAGCCCCAAGGAAGGACATTCTTAAATGAAACTTGGATTCGTGGTGAGCAGATTGACCCTAGAAGAATGATTTAAAAACTTATCTGTAATCCTGCCTACTTGGCAGGCTGAGAAAGGAAGATTCCAAGTTTGATGCCACAGTGTGGGCCACTTAGTGGGAACTTGTCCGAAAACAAAGGCCAGCTATGGTGGTGCATGCCGGTAGTGCCAGCACTTTGGAGACAGAAGGATTGCCTCGTGTCCTAGACTGGCCTGTGACACTGGGAAAAAAAAAAACCTGAAGTGAAAGAGAAAACTGAAGAGAAACAACATGGGGGTTCGGGACAATGTAAGTTCTCTGATAGATAAATTCTTGATTTTTTTCTTTTTTGGTACTGGGAAGCAAATTCATGGCCTCACACACTGCAAGGAATCCCAAGTCTTCTAAGTTACAGTTGATATTTGAAGCAAAATGGTGACATCTGATGTTCTCAATATATGTAGAGAATGTATTTTAAAATTACAAATAGAGGGGGAAGGATTGTCAAGAGGAAGCTTTCTGAACTGCATATATGAACCGTGTGATTCTAAAATGTTGCTAACAATGCTCTGGTCACGTGCACACACTTAGTTTCTTCTTCTTCTTCTTCTTCTTCTTCTTCTTCTTCTTCTTCTTCTTCTTCTTCTTCTTCTTCTTCTTCTTCTTCTT